GTGCTGTCCTAGATTGCCTAGGGGGCCCTCAGAGCCAGATCCGCAACCAGCTGCCTAAAGGGAAACTGAGGCCTAGAGAGGAGAAACAGCCACTGCCCTGAGCGACAGGAGAGGGTGGGTGGCGGAAGGGAGAGGGCACAGGTGTGCAGTTGAAGGTCATCAAATGCTGATGTTCTGAGCGGAGAGGGCTGGAGATGGGGACAGGAGTGCACACAGGGGGACAAAGCAACGGGAAAGAAAAGATATCAGGGGTGTATGTGTGTGTGCGTGCACACGCGTGTGCCCACTACAAAAGGCTTTGGCCAAATTAAGACTTGTGGAACTTTTGCCAACCTCTCTCCCTTCAACTCCTCTGCCTACACTGCCCTCCTGCGGGTTATCACCCTCTCCCAGTGCCAGGACCGGGGGCTGATAGTTTTGCCTGGGGTAAAGTCCCACGGACTGGCTGCCCCCCCCCCCCCCCCCGGCCTGAATTGCCCCTTCCCACTCTCCTCCGGTCTACCCCAGGCCCCATAAAGAAGAGCTGACACCCTCGCCCACATAGCTCCTCCTGCCAGATTGAGACACTTGAGCTGGGAGATTACCGCAGCCCTCTTTTTAACCAGTCTCGGCTCATGTGACTGGCTTTGGTCCAGGCAGACAGATGCGGGCCAGCCCTCCAGGCAGGGCACACAGCACTATTTATTTCCTCCCGGGTCCTCTTTGGGCAGAGCAGGCAGGGTGGGGCTTTCTCATTGTATTTAAGCCTCAGCTGGCGCCACGGAATTGCCCTAGCCTCAGCCTTTGCCCCTTTCCCAACCCTGTAGGTAAAAATACCCCCCTCCCCCCATTTTGGCACCTTTGGGGAGCTGGGTGGGGGCTGGGGAAGAGAGTTGCTGCGAATGCACTGTAAACACCGCATGGGGTGGGGGGGGGGGGGGGGGGGGGGGTGAACGGGGCAGGTTTGTTTTGTTTTTTTTGTTTTTTTTTAATAGCAGCAGGGGAGAGTCTGGCTCCAAACCAAGACTCTGCTACCAACCAAAGGGACGAGGAAGGGCGTTTGGTGTCTCCAGTTTGGGCCTCAGTCTGTCGCTTTTCCCATTAGGAAGAGCCTGGGCATCATTCATTCATGACTCAGGAGGAGGCATTGTAGATAGTGGGTGGTCCGTGGGGGACACGATCCTGGCTGGTGAGGGATGGGGCAGCCACCACGAACATCCTGTGCTGACCTCTGCCCCCACGCTTTATTTTGTTCACTCCTAGGGCACCTAGGGCATCATCGCACGTATCTCCTTGAACGTCAATTCTTTCCCCGAGCTTTACCTTTCCCCAAATTTTGAGAGCAAGGACTTGTGTCTAATTCATGTTTGAATTGCTCAGCACAGTGCCTGGCGCACAGAAGACACGAGAGAATGGAGAAGGGAGGCTGCCGGTGGGGGGGGGGAGGCTTGGCGCCCCTGGGGGAGCCCCTGGAGAGCACGTAGCTGTGTGGGGAGGGGGGACACTCCCAGGGCTGGGATGGGGACACTGCCAGCGCTCTCTCCCTGGTTTCTAACTTCACCAACCTTGACTCCACGGCCTGAGAAATCCCAGCCTTGCCCCCTTCTCCAGCCCCAGCGGCACCCAGGCTTTCCCAGCTAATGCTGCACCTTTCTCCCCGGGAGGTAGTAGAATTTAGGGCCGGGAATGAAGAAAGAAGGATGGGGGGGATTACTCGCTCTTTGAAATGCAGCTGCCTGGGGCCAGGTTTGGTTTGGAATGGGTAGGAGGGGTGACGTGTGTGACCCTGCAGTTGGGAGACAGTTGTCCCTGCAGGAAGGCCGGCCACGGAAGCGCCTGACCCCTGTTATTTCAGCAGGATTGAGGGGAAGCACCTGTGGTCCTTCCCTCCGCTTGGCCCCTACAGGAGTCAGAAGCCTTCTCCGCCTCACTCCTGCTGCTGTGCCTGGACTGTCTCTCTAGCACCTTGAAGCAGAAGGTGATTTGGGGTTCCAAGGAAAAGAAAGGGGCTCTTTTGTTTTTCTTAATGTTTATTCATTTTTGAAAGAGAGAGAGAGAGAGAGAAAATGAATGAGCAGGGAGGGGCAGAGAGAGAGGGAGACACAGAATCCAAAGCAGCTTCCAGGCTCTGAGCTGTCTGCGTAGATAGAGCCCAATGCAGAGCTCGAACCTGCCATTCATGAGATCATGACCTGAGCTGAAGTCGGACACAACTGACTGAGTCACCCCAGGGCCCCTAGAAAGGGGCTCTTGAATGAAGCTTTCCTGGCAGGGACTGGAACCAGGACAACGTGGGGCAGCTGCTCTGCTCAAAAACCACAGAGCAGGATCTCAGGGAGGATGTTTCGGAATCTATCCCAAGCACTCGCCTGGGTCTCAGGCACTGGGTTTGATGATGGGACAGAAATAAACAATGTCGATTTAGCAACCGGAGAAAACAGCAACGCTAGCCAGCAAGTTGTTGAAGGAGATAGGCAGGGAGGGAAGGGTGGTGGGGAAGTCTGGTGTCTGGTCCTTCCTCCTCCTCTGTGCTTTCTCTGCCTAGTGAATTTGGGATAGAGTTGATGTTTGAGGAGAGAGTACCAGGAGTCGAACCCCTGACCTGAAATCATGCCGGAGAAACCCCAAGGGTGACCCCAATCTCATCTTCAAGGTTGGAAATGGAGGGGAGTGAGAGCCAAGTAGCTTTTGGGATAGCACATCTTTCTCCTCCTTCAGCTCAGAACACAAGCCTTACATAAGAACATTCTCTTCTGAATCTATCTCCCCTTCCTGCCCCATTCACTTACAGATTTACACAAATTTAAAACCAGAGCAGAGTGGAGGTAACTTAGGAGTTTTCTCTAAACCCATTGCCAGGCTTTTGTTAAACAACAAAACATATGAACGTGTGGTCTGCAGAGCTGTGGATGCTCCCGTCTCTGACAAATGCCACTGGAGTGCCCCCAATCCGCCCCGGCCCTGCCCGCCATAGCTCAATAAGTCACTGTTGAAAGAATAAATGTACTAATAAAGGCCTGTATGGACGTGCATTAGAAAGGCAGAGATGTGTGGGCTAGGGCTCCACCCTGGGAATGATTAAGGATTCTCTGCAGTGGATCGGATTGGGTATCCTGGGTCTGCTCCTGCATCGGGAGCCTGTCAGCAGCCAGATGCACAGGCAGGGCTGGGCAGCGTTTGTAAAACAAGGTCAAATTGTACCCAGGCTCATGCTATAGAAAAAGCAAGACCAGACCTGAGCATTGTCACGGTCTAGCTGCGGTCACTTCAGGTCTCTGCCTCTGGACTGAAATTACCTCCTGGGTAATGAGAAGCGATGGACGGCACACCTATTGTTCTCATTGCCATTTCATTGCCTCCTCTAAGCTCTAAGTTCTGATAGTTTCGGCCTTACAATGGTCCAAAAAGCCACGGGACTGTCCTGGCTTGGTGTCTACTAGATTATGAGGAAATCTGAACAGCATGGGGAAGGCTGCTATTCTTTTTTATTCCTGCCTGGCCTCTAGTTTCTCTTAAGGCACAGCTGCTTTCACGCGAGCACAGGAGGGTCCTTTTCTAGCTTTAGGCCAGGCTCTCATAAGGCAAAAAGCCTGTTCAAGAATCCAGGGGATGATTCAAGGGCGGCAGAGGGCGGTCTGTGAGTTCAGCGTCCACTTAGTTCCTGTTGCCAGGGCAAGAGTGGCGCAGGGCCAGCTCAGAAGCAGGCAGGAGCTGAGTTGCCCAAGGGCCCCTAAGAACTCGTTTGCCTTTCCTTCCATGTGCTCAGTTCTCTTAGGTTTTAAGTTGTTGTGTGGTACAAGTCCTTGGCCTAAGAAACACACTGCAATTTCCCAAATAAACTGTATTCCTTGAAGCTGCTTGTTAGGATTCATCCTGAAGTTACGCTTGGGCCCCTGGAGGCTACACGTAAGAAATCCTGATGGGAGAGCTGACGGTTAGGGCCCCCGGGGAAAATGGCCATCCCTACAGGACTGCTCATTTCCCTTTTCCACAAAGGGTACGTCCTGGATTCTGAGGAACTATCAGAATAAGCAGAATCTCTTTAAGGCCGTCTCTCATCCTACCCCTCGTCCATTTATTTCCTTTTTCTAGCATTCTCTTTCTCTCTCATTGTCAGCACTGATAACCCATAGCGACTGGTTCACAGTCGCCACACTGGTGGTGAGTACAGCAGGCAGGGCCAGCTGCGGACGTTCTCAGACTTGGTTTTGAAACAATCATGAGGTGCTGAAAAATTCTCAAAGCATTCCGTCTTTATGTTTTGATAAACACCCCCCACCCCCAAACAAAATAAAACAAAACAGAAAAACCCACTGAGTCATCCTTGCCAAACTATACTTTCCAGAGGAAGCGTGTCAGCAGATTCAAATGAATGAACAATGATAGAATCCCGTGATACCAAGATGATTCAAACCTGATGCTTTAGAGGCTGACATCCTGAGCTGAAATAGTCAGGGGTCACCATCTGGCCCGATTTGGGGGCAGTCCTTTCTTTTTAGTTTATCTGTGCGGTGGCAGAGGAGGTGAGACTCTTTCTAGTCAACAGGCAGGCAGGCTTCTCCCGTTATAGAAAACTTGTGAGAGAGTCTAGGCACGACTTGGTGGTTGGTGAGCTATATTAAGAATCCTATTCTCTCCTTCAAAGTCTAGACGATGTATTTGTAGCTCTGGCTTATCTCAGGGGTTATAGATCTCAGGGGCCAGAGCTTTCAGTCCCTACATGGATGGGTTCACTGGGACTCTTAAAAACCTGCCTCACTGAAATTAGCAGGCATAATTTGACAGACACTTGGAAAAGATTACCCCCTAATCACATTATGGCTGCAGGCCAGGTTTGGAAGTAAGCTCTTTTAAATTCCTAGGCCGTAGGAAGTACAGGTTGAAGACGAAAGCGGGACATGCTGGACTGAGGATGTTAAAAATATTTTTTAAAACGGGGAGGCTGATGCCTGGCAGAGGACAACTCTTCCCTGATGTGCTATTCCCTCGTCTTGTCTCACTCCTTGTTTGGAAAACTCCAGGTTGTTCATATCATGGACGACTGCGGCTGCTCTCTGTGTGGTGAGCTATGGTGCTCTACAGACCGGTCACCTCCGACACGACTGAAGACCCGAAGGGACACGTGCTCTGGCGGCTCCTACCTGCTTCAGAGAAGGACCGAGCCTTGATTCTCAGAGGAGCAAAAGCGTACGCAGGCAGTCCGGCACAATCATTGCCACTTTTCCACTTCCATGTTGGTGACATCAGGTAACAGATACATGGGACATAATTAAAAATAAACGAGAAAAAGGTTTCCATGGTTCACGAAAGCAGTAGGAGTATTGTGAGGAAAGCTTAGAAGCATTTATCTGCTGCTACCCAAAATTTAGCATTTGACTTTAATTATGCCTCCTTAGGAATTAAGCAAAGCAGAAAATGTTTCAACACGACCAGCTGCTGCAGATCCAAACTGTTTCACGGGTGAACTTTTTATTTCATCTTTTCTGTTGCTTTTTCATCATGCAATAAACCCCACTCGTAACAGATTAAAGGTCATAAAAATTATAATGACATTAGCCAGCTAACCCATTTTTCCCAAACCCTCTTAAAACACCTAGGACCAAAGCATGCTACTATAGTCATAAACCAGAGTCGTCTGGGGAAGAGGCAGGCCCCACCCTCTCCTCTTTCAGAGTCCCTGTGGGTCAGAAGCCGAGTCTTTATGCCGTAGTTAAGGTTATGGCTGTGTTTTTCATACGTATTACCAAGGTGTCAGATACTAGGCCAGAAGGAGGTGCCCTCGCATAACCCTTCTCCGGTTACCCCTGCTCAAAGAGGAGAGATTGAAGAGTGGAGATCCTGTGGGTTAACTTAAAAGACAAGAGGTGAGCACATTCCTGGCACACAGAGGGAGATGGACCTCTGTCACCTGCGCGTTGACGGATAGCATTACAACTGGCTCATTTAGAGCATTAGGAATACGTGGGCCTGCCCATTTGAAGCTTCCGTTCCAACAAAGGAGAGCTCATGATGGCATATGATGAATGCAGAGATCACTCACCGTGAGGCCAGAAGGTAGGACAGAGTCTAATACGATGAGCAGGTTATTAGCTGGATTAGCCAATTTCCCATGTTGAAAGAAAAAAAAAATGACTTCAGGAAATGAAATAAAACAGAAATTCCTACCCTACTCTTTCCACGGCGTCAATAGCAATTTGGAAACGGAGTTGAGTTTTGCCAATTTAAAACACAGCAGAAGTCAACCGACTTGGCCTGTTTAATGGAAATGACCAGAAGAACGAACATGGCTGAAGAGCCATCCAGTAACCGTCAGTCAGACAGCCTGAATCTCTGCACTAACTCTGATCCAGTTTAGTCACTCACTGCTGTGGGCAGGGATCCAAGAAAAAAATTTCACAGGGGCTGAAAGAAGGGGGCCCAGGGTAACAGCCTCTAAAAATGACAACTTGCCCCGAAGCTTGAAACCGACTCAAACCTCCCCAGATCCATCTGGCACAACCAGCACATCTGACAGCAGCCCACGGTCTCCAAACGTGAATCGGCTGCAGAGGACTGGCACGCCAGCCTGAATGACTCTGCTCCGCGTCACTCACTAGATTGCCAAACTTAGGCACGAGCGCATCCATCCACCTTCCCAGAGCCTTCTAGAATCTGTCTCCGGTGTCACGGGTTACCTACCGCCTGTCACTTGGCCTACTTTCAGGAACCCGAATGTCCACTCAGTGCACAGAAACAGACCACACGTCCACCTCAGCCACAGGCTCGTCTCTCCCGTCACGGATGGCGCGGGCTGACCCAGGAGACCTGGCACTAAAACACCAACACCGAAATCCAGGGGCAGCCCGTGTGTTTGGGGTGGCAGTCGAGACACTGTTTGCTTAGAAGAGCAGGCCTTCCATGCTGATAACAACGGGCATAACCGCCTCAACCCGTGCTGGGCCGAGATAACACAGGGGATCCTTACACAACTGCTCCGTCAGGTGGCGGGTGCAGCCGGAGCTGGAGGGGCCTAACGGAGGCGCGTGTTCCATTGCCTTCTGTAAACCAGGAGGGAAGGAAGCCATTCAAGTTTTACACAGTGCACCAGGAGCACCGGCACGTCCCCTTTCTAGGAGGCGGAGGCCTCAGTCTGAACTGGGCCGGGGGGGGGGGGGGGCGGCGAAGGGCACGCTCTGGACATTGCTTCATTCTGTTTGCACAGCCTGTGCTGTGGCAATCAGAGTGCTTTTGGATAAGGCAAACGTTCCTTAAATGATATGCCCTTGGCATGTTTTTCCTTCTGGTTACTGTGTTGCCCAGCGAGCTTATGATCTCCTTCTGATCTCACGGCGCTTGCAGGAGACTAAGTTCTACAGTAAAAATGGAACTGGGTCACCCTGAGAATGGTGGTGAAGAAAGCAACGGTCTACTTTACAGAGCACACCTGGGGGCAGAGTTCAGGCGCACCCCTGGAGGAGAGTGGCAGGAGAGGGCAACAAAACGGTAGCACTCAGGTATTCAGGCACTGTGCCTTCTCCAGCCTTCCGAGAGACATTTGGCTAGCAGTTCGCTTTACTGCCAGTCCTCACTGTTTAAATCTTAGCAGAGAAAAAGAAAGGATGTTGAAGTGAAGGGAAAGGAAACGGGTTACCCCCAAGTTTTCTGGATTTTCTTGTAACCGAAGTGCGCTTAGAATCTAGGGAGCGGTCTTCAGTTTAAGCAACTAAAAAGTAGGGTAAACTGTGGCACACTGAGGTGGCAGAGAGCGGGGAGAGAGGAGGGGAAGCAGCAAACTATAGTGAGGATTATCGGACAGTGATTTTGTAAGGAAGAAAGTCCAGGGAAATGCAGCAAGCAGGCTGGTCTCCAGGGTTCCCAGAAATTAGAGAACTGTAGTCTGCATGCTGCTTCTGCCTTTTTTTTTTTTTAATTTTTTTCAACGTTTATTTTTGGGACAGAGAGAGACAGAGCATGAACGGGGGAGGGGCAGAGAGAGAGGGAGACACAGAATCGGAAACAGGCTCCAGGCTCCGAGCCATCAGCCCAGAGCCTGACGCGGGGCTCGAACTCACGGACCGTGAGATCGTGACCTGGCTGAAGTCGGACGCTTAACCGACTGCGCCACCCAGGCGCCCCTGCCTTTTTTTTTTTAAGTTTATTTATTTATTTTGAGAGAGAGACAGACAGAAAAGTAAGTGTGGGGGAGGGGCAGAGGGAGGGGGAGAGAGAATCCCAAGCAGACTCCGCACTATCAGTGTAGAGCCCAATGCAGGGCTTGAACTCACAAACTGTGAGATCATGACCTGAGCTGAAGTCATGCTTAACTGATAGAGCCACTCAGGCGCCCCTGCTTCTACGCTTCTAACATTAATCTGGGGCAAAGAAGCTGCTTTATGTTGCTGGGAGCCAGGGGTGGAGTGGGGCGGTAAAGTGATACACAGGACTCAGTTTTCAAGCCAGCACTTGGTAAAGTGGTAAGACATCAGTAAAATGCTTTGACTAGGAAACAAATCAGAAGCAAAATAATCATAGAAATAATAACAACATAAAATAAAATCGCCACAAATCACAGGATTGAAAGATATGATTCATTTGAGAAGCAATGACACCTCTTCAAGTGACTAACAGCTTCTGGAGCCTTCCCTTACGCCATATTCTGCTGAGCCCTTTCACCTGGAATGGGCCCACAGAGTGGCCTGCTGGGACAGGAGGGGCTTTGGCTCTCATCCAGAACCACAGCCGTGTCCCAAACCATCCCTCTGGAATAGATGCTGAGGGAGACTAGACACGGTGAGGAATGATCAGGATATTCTTCCTGCGATACCTTCTACCTGGAGAGAAAGGGATTTCAACCAGCAGGATACGCAAGGTGACGTACATCTGACGACAGTAACGAAGATACACTGACCTATAAAAAGTCATTTAATGTACATTCCAGGATGGCCAACACAGGCTGGTTAGGTCATTAGCCCTTGAAGAGTTCTGTTACAGACATATAAAAATGTTTTGCCGTGTTAAAAAAAAGAAATCTAGTCTAACAAAAACATACCCACCAACGGGCTCGTGTTTTTTTTTTTTTTTTTTCCGCCATGTTCAGGTTTGCAAGACAATTAAAAATACATACATATGCATCTCTGAGCACAGCACTGTCCATTAGCTAATGAGTTTGGGCAATACACTGCACAGAGGTATACCACCGTTGGATTCTGACATCAAGTTAGCTTTAAGCTTATTGGCTATTCCGACAACTGGAGGCAGCTTGGAACCCAGTCCCTGGAAAGCATTTGCAGGATTTACCACCCGTTTACCCGACACTTTTTCAATGGTCAGAGGTCTGGGCACAGACTTACTAATCCAAGGATGTCTCAGTGCTTGAGCCGGGGTCAAACGGGCAGAGGGGTCCCAGTGGAGACACCTTTTCAAAAACTCTATAAACAAGCAGTCGTCACACCCCTTCAGTGCTGTCACCCAGTCCTTGCTGCCTGGCGGACCCCGCTTTTTACCCCTACGTGAGCGACCCCCCACAAGCACGACTCTCCCGTCTGCCTGAGTAGTCACAGAACAGTAGCGAGGTAGGCCCTTGGAGTTAATAAAGTACTTGGCACGTTTGGACTGCTCCAGAAGTTTTGGTGGTGGCATCCCTAGCAGCTCCATCATACAGGCCAGCTGGTCCCCCTCATCCTCTCCCGGGAAGAGAGGCTGTCCTGTTAAAAGTTCTGCGAGGATGCAGCCAAAACTCCATATGTCTATAGGCGTGCTGTAGCGGCTTCCTAAGATGATCTCCGGAGCTCTGTAGAACCGAGACTGGATATAGGTGTAAAGCTTCTGGTATTCGAAGCAGCTGGACCCAAAGTCAATGACCTTGGTTGCACTGCGCCCGTGGTGTTTCAGGAGAATGTTTTCTGGCTTCAGGTCACAGTGAATGATCTTATTTTTGTGGAGAGCATCCAAGGATTGCAAGATGGATTGAGCAAACTTGCGAACTAACTGGACGCTAAACCCCTGAAACTTGTTTTTTTTAATTAGCTCATAAAGGTCTATGCTCAGCAATTCGAAGGCCATGCAGACATGATTCCGGAATGTGAAACTTTCCAGCATGTGGATGACGTTCATGCTCCCAGTTTTGTCCTGCTTTTTGAGATGCTCCAAAATCCGGATCTCCTCAGCTGCCTGCCGATGGAAGCGCTTTTCATTGCGCACCATTTTTAGGGCCACATACTGTCGGAGTTTGTGATCGTAGACCCGGGCGACTTGCCCAAAACTCCCCTTGCCGATAATTTTCAGCACCTCATATCGATAAGCTAGATGGTCACGAGGTACATGAATATAGGCCCCATCTGCATCATCGTACCCCCCGTTATTGGGACCACCGATCACTCCATGTCTCTTTTTGGCATTTGGACCCACGAAGTAAATTTCTGGATAGTTGACGATCTCCAGCTTCTCATAAGCAGTGAGGTGGTGTTTATACTGCTTCAGCGCTTGCTCTGGAGTCAGTGGCACCACTTTGGATGCTTTGGCTGAACTGCTGGGTTTTACCGCATTCGAGCTATCTGAACTCTTACCCTGAGAAACGGTAGGAGAGCATTTCTCAGAGTCGCTGATGCCATCCGACTGGAGAGTATCGGATCTTCGGTTGCCAAATTCCTGAAACAGCTGTTCCACCTTCACCTCACCTCCATTCAGAAAGCGCTGAGTGTGGTCTCTTGCTACCTGCTCGGCAGTGGTCTATGGAAAAGAAAAATGAATGTAATAGAAAAGTAACTGAAAACAGTGGAAGGATGAAAGAACCCTCCCCCTGACTGAACAACAACAAAACTGTCCAGTCACGTACGTTACAAAGACCCAAAAGTGAGGTAAGAAAAGCAGGAGTCTCTAGAGACTTGGGTTATATTGATCTCGGACCCCCCGGAATACTATGACCACCGCAACCCCCTACACATGCCTTGGTTTGTTAGAGAGAGATGGTCTTCTTACCAAGCCCTACACATGCTAGGTTCCTTCTGGTAGGTATGTCTTTCGACTGAGAATCTTCTCACCCCATCCACTCAAATCCTACACTCTTTCAAGGCCCAATTCAAGCCCTCTCTCTTCTATCTAGAACTACTCCAAGCCCATACTAACGAATCGTGACTGTAGCTTTTCCAACCCGTACCACATAATCTGGCACTTGATTACATACACACGGTCTCATATTGTTTACTAATTGTTTCAAGTATCTTCCCAGATCTTAATGGCATATATAGAATCAAAATATGCACGTTATAGTGTTCTATTAAAAAAAAAAAAAAAACCCAAAACAAAAAGGCGTTCTATAAATAAAACACCACTGAAGGACAGAGGCAGGATTTGAGCCCAGGTCTTCTGTCAGTCCAGCACGCTTCTCATGAACACAACTTGGTACCAGCTTCTCCCAGTGCCTGCAGTCCTCTCCAACTAGGGCTGAACGAGGACTGTGGCTTGGAATCAAGCGAGGCCTTGTTATTTACTCCCAGGTTCCCCCCAAAATGATTGAATCCTTCTAGCTCAGCGCACTGAATCACAAGAGTTCTAAGCCAAAGAGGGCTCCTGAGATCATCTGGGCCAGTTCTTTAAGTATCTGATGAGTAACGGTGAGAATCCAAGGTCCTGGGGGGTAAGGTGGGGGAGGTTCTTGTAAAGCTCTCTCAAAGAGATCAAGAGTCTCTCTCTCTCACTTACACCTACACCCACTCTTCCTCAGCAAGAGCCTAAGTGATAATGGCATACTACTTTTTTTTTAACTTGCATTTGCTTAACATTCTCCTTCAAGGAACAGTAACTCACAGAAGACAGCTCTACTTACTCCTTCAAGAGGAAACACAATTTCTTTGAAATTAGATGGAGGAAAGGAAAAGCAAGAAAGATAAATACTTTAAACAATTACACGCGCGCGCGCGCACACACACACACACACACACACACACACACACACCACACAAAGAAAAATTAAGAGGGTGCTAGAAGGAAAGAAGAGATGGAAAGATCATTATCCAAAGTGGCCAAATCTTTAAAAACAAGAATTTTAATCTAACTCCAGAAAACAGCACACGGCCCATTACCTAAACAACAATATAAAAGATATAAATAGCGGCAAAAAACAAAAGATGAAAACATTTGAGTGTTGCCAAACTTCATATACAGCTATAGTTATGCAAGCAGGACATTAGTTCCTGCCTGCTCCTTTCAGGTCATTTAATCAATCTAAACATTTGTGAAGTCCCACAGTTACAAAAACAGGATATTACATGATTACACACAAAGTGAAGTTGGCAATACAACTGTAGCCACACTTTGGCATGTGGGGTTTCACTAAAGACACGACCTATGGACCCAGAAAAATCTCTCCAATACCAAAATGGAGAACTATCGCTGGTCAAGAAAATACAACAGGCCTGCAGACAGAACCCAAACACCTTGCTAAGATGGAAATATACTACAATGTTTTTCTTAGCAATAATTAAGTCAAATAACTATTCCTCATTTTAGGTGGTTTTTCTTTTAATGTTTATTTACTTGTGAGAGAGAGGGAGAGGGAGAGAGAGAGGGAGGAGGGGCAGAGAGAGAGGGAGACAGAATCCGAAGCAGGTTCCAGGCTCTGAGCTGTCAGCACAGAGCCTGATGCGGGGTTCAAACTCAGGAACCTCGAGATCCGTGACCTGAACTGAAGTCGGATGCTTACCTGACTGAGCCACCCATGTGCCCCACTATTGGTGATTTTAAGGATAAAAAAAACAGAAGAGGGTCCCATTTATCCATCCATCCATGTGACATTCACAGGAACCCTTACTGTTCACTATTACAAGTGCGGAAAGAAACAGGTGTTCTCAAGGAACTCCAATCTGTGAGGAGATAGACTGGCTGGACTAGGGAGTTACAATTGTTTGGTTTTAGGTAGATCTGCATAACAAAAATGAATCTTTGCCTGCATCTCAGGTAGTTTTCCTTAAAATTTTTAATACCTAACTTCAATGCATCTAAAGATTTACCACTAGTGCTTTGGGGACACATGCTGAAGAAAAGCGATGTCAAAAGGCTTGGGTTAGAGTCCTGGCTACACTGCTTAAAAGCTGTAGGTCCCGGGGCGCCTGGGTGGCTCAGTCGGTTAAGCGTCCGACTTCAGCTCAGGTCATGATCTCGCGGTCCGTGAGTTCGAGCCCCGCGTCGGGCTCTGGGCTGATGGCTCAGAGCCTGGAGCCTGCTTCTGATTCTGTGTCTCCCTCTCTCTCTGCCCCTCCCCCGTTCATGCTCTGTCTCTCTCTGTCCCAAAAATAAATAAACGTTGAAAAAAAAAAATTAAAAAAAAAAAAAATCCTTAAAAAGAAAAAAAAAAAAAAAAAGCTGTAGGTCCCTAAGCAAGTTGTTAAACTTTAGCTCAGTTTCTTAGCCTCGGTTTCTTTATTTATAAAATGTGGGTCATAATACCTACACGCAGGATGCAAAGTGTAAATCAAACTATAATGAATAATATATGTGAAAGACCCTTACAAGCTATAAAACATTTTACAAACACTGGTAATAAGTAGACAAAATTCTCAACATACTAAGGTTTAAACTCTTATACGCCCTCCCTTTCTCCCCTTTCAGTTTATCTCTTCTCTCTCTGGTACCTCCTTCCACATCTCCAGTCTCCCTCCACAGACATCTGGCACTAAATATCTCTCCTGCAGCATGGTGGCACCCACATTAGGCCTTCTTTTAGGAGGTGTGGAAACAACTCACCCATTTTCTCCCTGATACAAAACGTGCTTTTGACTTGCCATACAATTTAAGGTAATTTAATTTACCTCTCCAAGATATTTGAACTTTAACAGCAGATCAATGCCTGAACCCAAAGGAATGACTCTCTAGGAACCATAGTCATCAGTAACAAGCTGGTAGGAAAGGTATTTGGGGTCCAGGGTCCATCCCTGGGTATTTCACCTACCCTGCCTACAGGTAAGGCTGTGTGGGTTCCGGAGTCTTCATTTCTGTCTGTGATAAAGAGGGGGTCTCGGGCACAGAACATGAATTTGAATGGATATGTTACAGAAATTTCATTTCCACAGAGCTATTACAGTAAGATTAAGGATGCCATGGTTTTTCCTTAAAGTGAGCCTAAATCTCTCTCCCTGAAAACTACATCTTATTTTGCCCTCTGGAAGGACACAGAAGTGTCCAGATTTCATGTAAAAGTCCTTCAGATACTAAAAAGGGGCTGTCCTGCCCCCCCCCCCCCACTTTTCCCTGGGCCCATCATGCCCATTATATCCTCTGCCTCATGCTTACTGCCTTATTCACATTCTCAGCACGGGCTGTTCTCTTAGAGTGTGGCTCCCAGAACAGAACAAGGTACCTCAGGTACAGTCCACTATGGGTTATCAAGGTTTGAATCTCCAGTGAATCTGAAGAATTCCAGGAAGGAATTTTTCCACACAAGGATGGGGTATCTTTTCAGGTCTCTTTCCTTTCCTGTAAATAACTCAGATACCGGCCTGAATCAATTATGTATCAAGACTGTTGTGCTATAAATAAAATCTTCCTTCCATTGTTCTAGCAGAGTCTAGAGTTTGCACACATGTTAAAGTAGAATAGTTATAAATAAAATACTATATGTTTCTAGTCCGTAGTTGTAATCACAGTAACTCAACAATATATATGATCAATTCTACCAATTATTTTCTTAATTATGTGATTACATCCAGAGAGACCGATTAATCATGTTTTATTTAACAATGCTTCACATACACTGCTAATTTGGAGGACTCTTGACATTTCAAATAGAAGCTGACATTCTCAATTGTGTGAGTCAAGTCTCGAAGATCTTGTTGAGAAATTCCGAAAAAAGGAATATCCTTCTCATCCAGATATGAAACTCTACTCTTTCCCTAGCTCTTGACCCTAAATCTGCAACACAAAGCTTAAGCCAATAAATGCCAGGCGGACGATTTATAGTTTAGAGTGAGAACGCGAGAACATCTTGGATAAACAAAGCTTAAAGGCTTTGTGACAAAAAGCAATAGGGTCTAGGGATGGAATCATGTCTTAATGAACTATTACAAATGTCAACAAGAGGTCAAAGAGCACTGCTTTCAGCAAAGTTTGCAAAGACACCGTTAGGTTAGAATCTAAAACCCCATGTTTCTCAAAAACTGTTACTCTGTATGCTATACAGTAAGAAATTCATTTTAATCTTGAAACATACAGTTTAACTGACCTACTGGGAGGTGATTAGCACTGGCTAACTCTAAACTGAAGTTAAAATGACCTTTAAATCATATGTTAATGTACCAGCCCAACTGCAAAAAGTTTCCTACAGAGATATGCTAATTGGCAGCCAGTAACCAAAAAGCCCATGGTCAACCAGAGGAGTATATGGTTCTGGAACTCTGAGAGGTTTTCACATATTAAAGAAATGAGCTTGTTGAAAATGGAAAGGAAACTTATTGTACTCCAGGGAACAGGTTAAAAATAGGGAGACCAGCCTTCCAAATATATTTAGCCAATACTTTGTAATATTATTAGCCTTGGAACTAGTGAAAAGATTGATTTTAATAGCAAAAGCTAACAGAAAGTTGGAAAGGGCTATGAAAAATTCAAGTAATTTTTTTTTAGACTATAGAAACTGGGGCGTCTGGGTAGCTCAGTCAGTTAATTGGGACCTTGATTTCGGCTCAGGTCATGATCTCACAGTACGTGGTACTGAGCCCTGCCACGGGCTCTGCACTGACAGAATGGAACTTGCTTGGGATCCTCTCTGTCTCTATCTGTGTCTTTCTCTCTCTCTCTCTCTGTGTCTCTCTCTCTCTCTCTCTCTGACCCTCCCCAGCTAGAGCGCATGTGCATGTACACTCTCTCTCTCAAAATAAATAAATAGGCATTAAAAAAATATACTAGAATACAGAAACAATTTTAGGTCCTAAATGCAGAAATCTGAAGGAGAAATATTACAAATAAGTCTATTCAGTTATTCAGTTTGGTCATCAGGTGACATATGCAGCAAATTTTAAAGTCACAGAATGGCTTCTCCCTGTCATGGAGTTCCTCCAAACCCCGTTCTCCCTACTATCCTGTGTATGCTGATGGAATATGAATTAATTTTTTTATTACCTTAAGTAAAACAGTGTCAAAAGCTAAATGTCTGCAAGCTCCAGAATGATTAAATGCATCAGAAACCAAACTGTACTGTTCAAGTTTTATTTATGATCTATAAAGTGATTCTCTTTAGCATACTAATAAGCTAGGACTGCATTTCTATCTTGCAGGGAAAAAAAAAACTTGCAGATCTATGAATTCAGGGGTATTATCTGTTCCTCGTTTTTGTTAAAATGAACCTTTATAATACACTATGTCATCCCATAAAACAACAACAACAACAACAACAACAAAACATTCCCTAGATAAAAGTAGCATTATTTTTTTCCTAGTGCCATATAATTTATCCCAGTGATTGAAAGGAATACATGGGGCTCCAAATCAAAATCATCTGTAAAGCTAAACTTGGACCACAGAAATTGTTATTCCAAAGTCAAGAGACACCAAAAGGAAACAAAAGAGTCTGAGTTGCCAGTGAGATGTAATTGGACCTTGGGCATTAAGTAGCGCTTCCTTCTTTCCCAGACATCTAGACAGCAAAGAACAATTTTGTTTACTTACATTTAGTCTTCTGGGTAGAGGTGGTTCGGAAGGATTGCAGAGTACATTCGAACAGGGTGGGCATTTGGTTTCATCTATCATCATGAAGGTATCATAGACACCATCCCCCAATCTAGTTGAAAGGATTACAGATAAAATCTGTCAGTATCTGAAGTATATAAACTTGTATTTCCAAAACATTTTGTGTCTTTACTTCTTCACATCTGCCACAAATAACTAATACAAAAAAAGTCTACACTGCATTTTGGCATCGAATACAAACAGCTAGGGTATTTGGCAAAAGAAGAGAGAAAACCCAACTTTTCTTCTTTTTCTTTTTTAAAAAAGGATAGCATTTTGGGTTTGTATTTTGACAGAGTTAAGACAACTCTTACTGTGTAAATGTTGATAACAATAGGGACTATCGGGGTGCCTGGCTGGCTCATCAGGAGAACATGCAACTCTTGATCTTGGGGTTGTGAGTTCGAGCCCCACATTGGATGTAGAGATTACTTAAAAATAAAATCTTTAAAAAAAATTTTAAAAAATAAGAATAGGGACTATGAGAAGGATCTCATTTAACTTACTACATGAAAATAAAGGCTCGTTTAAATCCGAAGCCTAAAAGGTAACCGGAGCAGGAAAAGAGAGAGAGAGAGAGAGAGAAAAAAAAAAAAAAAAAAAGGCAGAGGTAACTGTATTTTAAAAGTCAGAGCCTTGGATTCTAGTCTCTGCTTTACCACTGGCTGTACTACCTTCTTTTCTGAGCCTGTTTTCCACGTTATAATGGGAAGAATAGTTCCAGTCTGCACATTTCTCTGTCTTACAGGCAAGAAATAAAAAGCCTTCTTAGAATGTCTTCTTTTTATGATTTATTCACTTACCTACTTAACATCTACCCAACTTGTAGAAATGTCCAGTGAATACTACAGCAAATACTAGAGATTCTCTAAATTATACAAGGTACTGAATTTCACTTCTTTATCCACTCCATTTTCTACTGGATGGTGGAAGCTAAATGCTAAATGATTAAGGACCATTTCTCTGTTCCTTCACGCTGTGCCTCTGCCACAAAAGAGGGAGAGGATTTATTTAAACCACAAGATGGTCCTAGATAATGCATTTCATCTGCCACCACGAACATGAATTTCCCAGTCATACACATCAGCCTTTCATCGTATCATTTTTACATAATATACTACAAATACAATGATGATCACGAGGTTGCAGGGGAAGAATCTTTAAAAATCTTTTAAAATATGCTGAAATATTTGTTTTCTTAATTGCAATATTTAAAGTTGCCTTTCAAAACTTTTATAAAATTAGTTCTAGAGTTTTCTTAATTGGTGTTATAGAAATACAAAGATAATTAAAAACACAACTACAGATATTTTCGAAAGAGTCTTTATAAACACAAACTCACATTCTGATAGAATTTTATGTATCTTTAATGGACACTGCTTCTCTGACAGCCAAAATTTCTGGATGTGACTGACTCTTTGCCAACATCATGAATATAATAAATAAAATGGGACAGGCGTCCACAACTACAGAGAAAAAGACAACCCTGAAGACCTGCAAGTATTCTTATAAACAGGCAGAGGAAATTACCCAAAGGAAGTCTGCATGCAAATGAGCGGGGTGTCCGTAGTCTCCTTTTAGGTGTAAAATACAATGCAAGGTGGAGATCTCTCAAAATAGGATCCCCAGAAAGCCCTACTCAGAGCAACCCTTCACCTGCATATCCCAAGTCAGACCGCACCCCTCACGGCAAACCCCAAGAGTTCAGTCCTGGGTTATTTGCTCTGAGCAACAGGGCTTCTTGGAAAGGTATTTGCTCTCTGCCTCCCCCGGTTTGTTAAAAAGCCCCACAAAAAGTCCCAGCTTCTTAGAGTCCCTTACATATCCCCGATCTACGGCTTCTTCTCCTAGCTCCGCTCCAGCTTCTCCTCCTCCGCTCACGGGGGGCCGGGGGGGGGGGGGGGGGAGGGCAGTTGATGCAGACTAGGAGGGTGGGCCGGTCCCCGGGAGGAGATCAGAAAGAACCCTTCCCTCGTCCCTGCTACCGGGGGTTCACTCCATCAGGCCTCCCCCGCCCCCCACTTCCCCCCACCCCCGGCCTCGCCAGCCTGCGCCAGCCACCCACTCGGGGGCCCCCAGCCCGTTACCCTGCGCCGCCGTTACCTCCGCTGCTGGGGCGGGAGTCCGGCTCCGGGCGGCCCCGCATCCTTCCGCCCGGGCCCGCGAGCCGTGCCTCCCATCCGCTAGCTCGGGAGTCCCCGGGGGAGGGGCGACGGTTGGAGGGTCCGACGCGCAGGGTCCACCTGCGCCGGGGCGGCTGCCTCCGGGACGGCGACACTTCCCGGGGGACTCTCGTCCAGACACTGCAGCTCCGCGCGCCTTTGATTGCGACTGGCCGGGCAGGGAGTGGGGAGAGGAGCGCCAGGGGCGGGAGGAGCGCCAGGGGCGGGAGGGGGAGCGGTGTGGTCGCCTAGCAACAGAGGCACGCCCCGGGAAACGCCTCTGCGAAGTTACGCGATGACGCAAGGGGCGGGGCCCGAGGCCTCTCCCCACCGGGCGGCGCTGGCCTCCGCCACTGGCGCCGGCTCCGGGAGGTTCGGGGCGGGGCGTCCATCGCTTGCGCTGCCTATGCTCTCTGGCAGCGAGTGAGGCTTGGGGTCGCTGCCCCCGGAGGGAGAAAGGCCCGGGGGAGGATTTGTGGAAGTAGCAGTTAGCCCCCGATTTCCGCCTCAGAAATACGGGCGCGCCCCTCAACCGTCTGCTGTCCTTCAGCACGTTGTAGCCTGAACTTCTAAAACCTCCCGTGAATATGAATTAGAACAAAAGTGAATGAAAAGTCTAATTTCCTAGGCTTTCCCAAGGAGGGGCTTCTCCCCCCCCCCCCCACCGACGGGTAATGAAAGCAATAATAAAAACGTAAGAGGCAATAATAAACCCATTTAGTGACACTGCACCAGCGCTTACGAACATTGTTTTATTTAATCTCCGTGATCATACTGTGTGGCACCCGCCTTTTACAGATAGAAGTAGGATCCAGAATTTAAGCTGACATTTGCCAGACTGCCCTGTCACGGGATGCTACGGATGGTAGGGCGCAAAGAGCCTTTTTACTGATGAGAAAACTGAGGCCAGAGGAGCCGTTCTTTCCCAGGATCTTGTAGCTGGAATTCCCAGCCTTCCTCGGGCTGCACCAGGCCCCTTGGAAGACGCTTCTTGTTTTTCTCTCCAGGGGATATTTGGGGGCTTTTTAATTCTTTTTCTGAAAAGTGAAGAAACCTCAGTAGCCCCAATATTAAGTGGATTTCGATCATTGGGACGAAAAGTGAGAGGGAAGGAGATTAAAATAGAAGAACGCCTAGTGTCTCCTTGAGCGTGGTATCTAATCGGATTTCCCTTAAACCTACAAAGCACGAGGCCGACAGACACTCCAGGAGAGAAACAAACGTTCCCAAAATGTCGAACAGGGGCGCCCCCTGGTGGGACTTGGGGGCTCATTGTCCCATACCAGCATAGTATAGTCCATAAATCTGAAAATTTCCATCCAAGGCTCATTTCCGTGTGACTAAAAGTCATATTCCCTGTTCTCTTGCCTCCAAGCAAAAATGTCCTTAAGGATCCAAAGGCTTTTCACTTTGTAAATTAAGGATGTGTCAGTTTGGGGAACTTGATTCTTTGTGACCAAAGTTGCTTTAGCTTCTCTCTGATATAAATAAATAAAACTTCTTGCACGATGATTCTTAAAGTTATTCTAATTTTATAAGTAAGCTTTTGTGGGTTTTGCCCCTCCAGGCCACACCCCCAGCAATCCTGCTTTCCTATGAGTTTGTGTTAGGGCTCCTGTGGAAGCTTTTGTTTGAAGAGAGAGGGCTCCACCGCAACAAAAAGTTGGACTAGATTGTTGCTGAGGTCCTTCCAGCTCTAAGATTGTAAAATCCTATTAAATAATCCCCGTTCTTAGTACTTATGTGGACACCCTAGACCACTTCACTGCTCTGAACATCTGACTGGGACTTGCTCCCACCAGTTTTTTTGCTTCATTCTGAATCACTGCTTTGAGAGGACCACATCTCCAGTTTCAGACATACCTCTGTGAGCCACCCTGAAGCTTTCCTGCTCCCCTTCCTGCTCCTGAGGTGGGAAACAGAAGCGTCTTTTATCTTTAGCCATTTGTTCTCACGGTCAAGGAGAGGAGGATTCCTTGGAGGTGTTGGAGCTTCACGGATCTCTGAGCTTAGTGGTTTAAATACTTTCCAATATTTCTTCAGAGTCCCCGTTTCATAACAATCTGGCTGGGTGAAACAGTGGGCTGGGTTCAAGTCCAGTGATGGATCTAGCAGGAGCTTCCACACCCCCTCTGAGCTGGTATCTTGTGCCCTCTAGTTCATGAGCAGCTTTCAGACGATTCATGTCCTTTCTTCTCCTTTCAAAGCCCCACTCAAAAGTAGTTCAATATCGCCATTATCTTTCTCCACATAGTTAAAGCCAGATTTAAAACGCTAACATGGATTAGCCAAATATAGAAGATGCCTGCCTGACCTTTGAAACCAGTTCTAATAAATCTGCAAAATCAGAAAACTGTAACGAACAGACAAAAAAAGGGAGCTATTCCGGGAACTTCAGAAATCAATGGAACATTCGGAATGTGATCACAGCAGTTTCAAATGCATAGAGTAAGAAAATTTCCCTGTGGCCGCCTTCACCTTCAATTGTGTGATGAGATAGCTGTCGGTTAAATTTAAAATCGCTTCATTGCTATGAAGTATTCTTTACAGCATGATATGCCAATACATAATATGACACATGAATCACAAAATTGGAATGCATTCTTAAAAATCTTTTGGAAAGAAATTCTCCCTTTCCTCCTAATTGACCTCAAATTTACCTAAGCTCCAGAAACATGTACCTGCTATTTTTTCAGAAATACAGAAATCTAGGGGCGCCTGCGTGGCTCAGTCGGTTGAGCGTCTGACTTCGGCTCAGGTCATGATCTCGCGGTCCGTTAGAGCCCTGCGTCGGGCTCTGTGCTGACAGCTCAGAGCCTGGAGCCTGCTTCATGGTTCTATGTCTCCCTTTCTCTCTGCCCCTTCCCCACTTATACTGTCTCTCTCTCTC